GGAAATGGTAGGAATCTGAGTGTGATGTAAGGTCAGAGGTCTCTTCATGTTCAAGGAGGTTTGGGGGCTGAATACTATTTGCATGTGATTTGTATAACATGAATTTAAAGAGGAGATTTTGTTGAGCTCCTTCAGCGTCGTCTTTCTCTTCTTCCGTTTCTGTGGGCAATACATAGATTTTTATATACCAGTGTTGGAAAGGCATTAAAAATCCCAGTTCCACCAACGTATGTGTGGAAATAGTCATGCTAAAATTTGTTGGCCCGTTCCTGTCTAAAATYACACGTGCACCTCGGTATTAGAAGAATCGAGGCCTTGAAGGACTGGGAGAAGTGGTGAAGCTGTTTGCACCCCTGGTGTTTTCAAATGCGCAAATGTCAGAGAAGAATAATGAGGTGAAACTTCCCTTTTGTCTTACATTTATAGTCATTTCAAGGTGTTCTTCTGCCATTTTTGTTTGGTTTTGATGCCCCATGGAAGTTCTCTTTGATGGACACATTGGCTTGCTGAGCGGCTTGCTGGTGGTGGCGGCCCGTGGGCTGACCTCTCCTGCCTTTCCATTTCCCCTTCACCTGGAGTAGCTTCCCAGCATGATGGAGGCACATCAGGCACTTTCACGGGAAAGATAAAATAGACAGAAATGTCACAGCTTGCAGCAAGAAATGGTCTTSAGAACGTTTGCTAGCAGCTAGTTCCCATGCTGTTCCCACTAGAGATCCTACCAGTTCAGCTACTTGGTGGGATCTCAGTAGCTTCACAGCAATCGGTTGCCATGTGATAGAGCAATTCTTGTGCTTTCTGTTTATAATTTGTTTCTRTTAGGCTTTTTGTTGCATATCCATGGCTATGAGCAAGTGCTACAAGATATTGTGGCGAAGGAAGCTTAATTTGGCTAATCCTGTTTATTCCCATCTCGTAGCTTTTCAAAGGACATAATGCGGTGCTTGTAATGAATGTGAAAATGTATTTTGGAATAGTATTGTCTTGCCGGATGGGTTGGAAGCTCATGTGAATGTGTTTAGATGCTAAATGCTAAAAAGAAAGAAATTCATCTCTCTGAAATGTCTCTGGCATTCACTCGTTCCTGCTGTAGCATAGAATCATAGAATCCTTAAGGTTGGAAGGGACCTCTAGAGGTCATCTAGACCAACCTTCCTGCACATGCAGGGTCACCTAGAGCATGTGGCACAGGGTGGCATCCAAGTGGGATTGGAAGATCTCCAGAGAAAAAGAGTCCACAGCCTCTCTGGGCAGCCTGTTCCAGGGCTCTGTCACCGTCACTATAAAGAAATTTTTCCTTAAGTTCCTGGGGAACTTTTGGTTCTTCAGTTTGTGGCTGTTTCCTCTATTTCTGTCAGTGGCCACCACTGCAAAAAGGCTGCCCCATCCTCCTCACTCCTCCCTTGAGGTGTCTATAGACACTGATCAGATCCCTCCTCAGCCTTCTCTTCTCCAGGCTGAACAGACCCAGCTCTCTCAGCCTTTGCTCCTAGGGCAGAKGTTCCAGGCCCCTGATCATCCTGGTAGCCCCGCGCTGGACTCTCTCCAGCAGCTCCACATCCTTCTTGTCCTGGAGAGCCCGGAACTGGACACAGTACTCCAGATGTGGCCTCACCAGGGCTGAGCAGAAGGGGATGATCCTCTCCCTCGACCTGCTGGAGACGCTCCTCTTAATGCACCCCAGGATCCCATTGGCCTTCTTGGCCACGAGGGCACTGCTGCCTCATGGTCAACTTGTTGCCCACCATGACGCCCAGGTCCTTCTTGACAGCCACATTCCCAACAAAGAGGTATCTTCCTTTTCCTCTTCCTTCCATCCCACTCAAACCTCCAAAGTGATTGCAATGTTTTTGTCTTGGCTAAAAAAGTTTTTTTCTTATTTATTTTTTTTCATTATTATCAGTAAAAGGTTTATTTCCCCTCTTACAAAACTTACTGTCTGCCAGTGTAGGCTGTAATTTTCCCAATATTGTTATTTATTTATACCCTTTGCACCCAAAAGAGCCCAAACTAGATCACACTTTGAGACAGGCTCTGTGGAACCACAGGGATGCTCCTTGCTCAGGAGAGCATCGCATCTCATGGTCAAGGCAAGTAAGAACATCAACCCAGCAAGCGTCAACCCTAGACACTAACAGTCTGGGGACATAAAATCCAGGTCTGCTGAGTTTTGATTTGATTTTGCTGCTTGATGTTTGTTGCCCATGAACATTGTGTGCTCCTCACCCAGTACTGGTTGTGCTGTGCTTAGCAGTTAGATAAAAGCTTTGCCATCACTATGTTGTTGTTCCACACAAGGATGCAACGTTACATGGGTGACCGGGCAAGTGCACCACCAACATCAGCAATTCATTGCTCTTGCAAAGATGCTTTGTCATTCAAAGGAATCAAAGTTCTTAGTGAAGGTTTTCTCATGTACATTCAAGGTGTGTTTAGGCTGCTGGGCTGAGAAGAACTCTTGCAATATGTCCACTCTGTCCTTCCTTTCTCCTGGTTGAAGGTGGCCTTTCTTCCTCTTGGTTCGCTTGAGCTTTGCTGGTTGAGGTAGTGGAGAGCCAACACAGCTTGCTAAACTGCTCCCCTCAGGCCTAGCAACACGTGAACTGGTTCCCACTGGGATAGCGAGTGGAATCAGCTCTGGGCTGGAATGGTTGTACTTGTAGGACCAGACTGTGTCCTCTTCTGGGCGAGGCCAAAGTCAGGCTGCAGTGGCTCCACTTTCCTCTGCAGAGTGATGCGAGACCCTGCAAGACTTGAGCCTGGTTTGTTGTGTGTGCTTGAGAGCTATTGCCTTTTTCCTGAAAACATCAGCTTAGCTGTATGGACTCAGATCAAAGGTCCTCCTGGCCTGTCCTGACGTGTCTGGGAGGATACCTCATAAAGAGAAAAACCTACTGGTCCATTGTCTAGGTGGAGGGGTCATGCTAGTGAGTTAACAGTTACTTATGGCCATGAAGTCCTTACAGCTCTGACTTCTTTTACTCTTAGGTCTGACTTACAGGATCTGTCTTTGGTATCTACACATCATGTACCATTAGGAACTCATAGGCTACATACACTATGAGCAGTATGGCATTTCTGAGGTGACTTCCACTTATTGCCTTGTTTTTTGTAGTGTTCAGAACACTTTTGATGTGCTTCCTCCAGGTGCCCATCACAAGTACCCCAACCTCTCGAGGGACATAGAGGTGGAAAGCAGTGATGGTCCATTAGACAGCTGCTGGTGGGGACATCCTGTCCAGAAGACCAGGCTAAGCCTAGTTCACAGGAAGCCACATTGAGTGTCACGGTGAGATCCTCAGCATAGACTGCTTTCATCTCCTGCTCATCTCTCATTGCACCAAGACATGCACATCTCCAGTGGTTTTTAGAGTGCTTTACCCCGTTGGAAAGCTTTATGACATTAAAAATTCCAAATATCCTCATGATTTATTCCCACCGTTGAGGTGGAATTTGAATTGCGTAGAGATGATGTGAAAAAATTCATTGAAGGTGGCATTTAGATGGAAAACAGGAGGTTTTGGCTTGCTGGCTGGTGTTGAGAGCAGAAGTGACTTCTTCCCCACTTTCAATTTTTGTGCATTTTGTTGAATGGTTGAGCAAAATAATGTCTATGTGATGTGTGATCCATGGGATTTTTGTGTCTTCAAGCACTTCCTATGCTTGCCACCATGAAGCAGCACCGGCGTTTAATGGGGCCCATGTGCTTGCATGTCCATCGTGCTTCATACGTGCCTTTAACTCCAGATCCTACGTGTATTTACTGGGGAGGAGGACCAAGTTACARCAGCTCTGGGGACTGTAAAACGTGGGTGCTCCCTGGAGAATCCCCCATTTCCCATACATTGAGTTTTACTCCAGTTTTCATGGTTTTTAAGAACTGAGTTGTGCGTTGCTGAAGCCAACTTCTGCCTTGTCTCCCATTGTGATGTGATTCATGGTGTTGGTAGCATTTTATTCCAGAGTACTTCATAAATGTGGTTTCCTTTGCTTTGTGAATAGCTCTGTCTGTGCCGACTTGGGTTCTGAGGGAAGCTAATTAATTAAGCAGTAATTGTTGTCAAGTCAGTTGTGGCTCACATTTAGCATTTGACTTGTTTACTGTCCTGAAGTAAAGCTGAAGGAGTTAATGAGCTAACAAATTGTGCATCAATCATGAGAGACTTGTTTGGAAGGGACGGCTTGATTTTATGAACTGTAAAATAATGCATTGGGAAGGAAAAAGAATAAAACAAACAACACAATTTAAAGAAAGACCGTTTGGGGTTGGCGTTTGGAATTGCCACCGGATAGCTGCAGAGACAAATGTGTTGCCTAATAAAGCTTAATGGCTGATTTTTTCCCCATTAATCAGAACTTGGAATGGGCTTCATTAAGATAATTAACTGAGCCGTTGCTCAGCTGACAGCCAGTAGACACAAATTCCCAGGTTATTTGTTTTACCCTAAATAAAACTCAGGAGAAGATAACCCGGCAGTGTTTAATCATCTTCATTAGATGAGCAGGAGGGCTATTAACATCTTGGTGGAGCACGTCAGAGGGCTCTGTGGTGGCATGGAGCTCCTGGGACTCAGACGTGGTTGAGTGCTCAGCACTGGCAACGCGTGTCCTTGGATTTGCTAATTGCCAGAGGGTCTGATGTAAGTCTCAGAGTTGCTTCTGCTGCCCCCAAAACATAACCTTGGGTTTGTGGCCCAATTGGGRGTTTTCATTTTGGTTCTCACCCCAAGGTAGGGGTTTGCAGGATGACTCTACTCCAGGTATGTATGGAAGCAGAAGAGGCAGCAGTGAAGAAGGCACAGGAATTCATATCTGAAACTTGAATTATTAAATACACTTTCTCATTCTCATGTCTGCTTGTAAATCCCTTTCTTTGCAGCTCTTTGTGTCTCGAATTATAACATGGTGGAGGCTACTACCAAGAACTTTTGTATGCAAGACTGTTCTGTGTGTGCCGTAAGCCCAGCTTCTCAACTGTGCTTTTCTCCTTTTGTCTGCAGAGCTCCCAGTCTTCCAGCATGAACCCTGTTTACAGCCCCGTTCAACCTGGGGCTCCCTACGGAAACCCCAAGAACATGACGTACACAGGTAGGTTGGCGTTGGCTGCCTTATGAATGTCCATCTGATGTGGTTAGAGTGGAGGATGCTCAACGAGTAAGCTCAGTCCTTGCTGGAAAACCTCTGCAATAGGTTTAGAGAGAAGAAATGAACCTAAGTTGATAAGAAAGAGGAAATTCTAGCAATTCGAAAGAAAAGGACAATCAGCCTAGAGTTTTAAACCAACCAAACCCACAAAAAGCTGCTGGGAGAATCTGGTGGGAGCTGGTAGACCTGCCTGCATGGATGAGTTGAGAATAATCCTGTTGTATGTAGTGAGGATCCCACAGGAGAGAGCTGGTTGGTTGAAGAACATGTGGTGGTGGTTATAGATGGTGATTTGAACTGTGTTGTTGACTTGTTTTCTTAATGCTGTGCTTTGCTTGATGTGATCCTATGTTGAACGGCATCTTATATGTGAGTTTGAAGTCCATCTTTTTGAACTGAGTGAATTATCTAACCGTGTCATCTTTAATACTTGAAAAAAGGCATTGAAAAATGTTTGCCATAATTATATAACTACTGATAAGCTAAAATGTGCTAAAAGGGAGAGACTTAAGCTCACTGGGGAAAAAGTGCTTTGGAAAAATTAATCTTGGCATGGGATTTTCTGTGGTGTTCCTTGTGGAGCGTGTCTGCCTGCAGATGTTCCTCTGATTTTGTAGGCACCTTAGAAAGGTAGCCTTGGAAGATCCTTTCTTCCAACATTGTGTCAAATGTAATTAGCAGTCAAGTGTTAATGTTTCCTTCTTGATATTTGCATTGCGAGCTGTGTTGACTTCCCCACAGTGCCAGGATGGTTGCAGGAGGGCTTTTTATGGAGTAAAGAGGTCAACGGCAAACGGGAATGAACCTCAAACAGTGGCTCGGTTACTTCATCTACCAAATATTTCTGTTGGCTTTGGTAGATGTTTCCACGAGGAGATTGGTGCAGTTGGCCTTGCAGCTGAGAGTTCCTCAAAGAGGCTTTGCCCCATTTTTTATTCATGCTTTCCTTTTCCCTTGTCAGATTTATGCATGCTGCCTCATGGGAGCTCCTGTAGCTCAGGAGAACTTTCCTCTTTTTTGGTATGTGCTCAAAACTCTGCCTGGAGGCCCCTTCCATGTAGGATTCCTCTCTTGGCTTTCAAGTGATCCCAAATATTTTAGCATCTGCGTTTCTGACACTTGGTGAGACAATTTTCTTTAAATATTGAACTGTGGATCATGTARAGCTTGTGCGTTGACTTTTCTGGAAGGAGAATTTCAGAGGGTGATTTCTGCTTTAAATGGATGAATTGGATGTGACTGCACGCTGAGTAAGTCATATGGCAACGYTAGGAGGAAATTAGCTTCTAAGTAAATTTTTCTCTCAAAAACCTGGTGGTTAATCACCACAGAGATTGTTCTGTGTACTTATGTAGATGTCCTGTGGTCTGCTTTGGCTGCCTCGCTGCAGGTCTGGCAGYGGTCACAGTAGCTGGTCCTCCAAGTCTGGTTTCATCCCAGATCTTCAGCTGTTTGTGGTCTCCAGAGTTTGCAGGGAGCAAAGAGAAATGAGCGGCACATGTAGAAGATGAGTTTGGAGGGAAAAAAAAAAGAAAAAAGAAAACAGACAAGGGCAGATCAGACCTGAAAAATTACAACAAGATCCTTAGGAACACCGGTGAAAATATGAGAATGGGAAGGTTCAAGTGGTTGCTGAGTTTGGCTGCATCACACGAACATTTGGTCTTCCCATAGCCCAGCTGTGAGGTTGTTTTCTTCCCAGGAAGTCCCCAAATAAACAGTAGGTTGAGAAGTGCTCAAGCTCGGAGCTGTTGCCTTTCCTAGGCAAACAGAATTACTAAGCCTCTTCCAAATCTTCCAGTGTTTAGCAGGAAAACAAAAGGTTTATTGCAAAAATGGGAAAAATGTTGGAAGTCTTGTCCTTGATTATGTCCTTCATAACCTCAACAATTATGAAAAGAAAGCTGCCATGTCTCTTTCCTGAGAAATTATGCCCAAAGTTATGCCCAACTAATGATTTTTTTTCTATACCTTGCCTTCATTTACAATTTTTTAATTCTTTAACTTTGTCATCAAACTTATATAATSACAAGCTCTTCTGGAAGGTGCAGACCAACAAGATAGACTTTTTCACAGGAMAACCGTGAATCTAGGGAGTTTGCAGACACTTCTCAAATTGGTTTGAACATACAATCTGAAGCATATAATGCTGCTAGACCTGGAAAAGACACTGAGTCCTGCACCTTATGCAACCCCGCTCCAAGGTCCTAAGGGTTCATCCCAGGTTTGGAGATTTAAGAACCATCAGAGTCCTGAAAATCAGCCAAGGAAGATGGTTCACTTGGAGCCCCTCATTTCATAGAGCACACAAGTGAACTGAGAGACACAATTTGTGATGCCTGTCCTGAAATTTTGATTTGAGATATCGTTTTTTAGAGGTCTCATCTTTTTGCAGGACCAAGGGGAACTGCCAGGAACGTRGTAGCACAAGGAAACTCAAGGACTTGCTTAAATGTCCTCTGTGTGTGTTGTCCGGGATTGCTTCCACGTAATTCAGTTGTGTGCTTTGCATGGTGATTTTATTTTTTTTGGAAGAAATAAGAGGAAAAGAAGGAAACTCACTTTCAAAGCAAATTTCTAGCATAAGTAGTGTTACGTTTGGGAAAAAAATATATATTCTCAGCTCCAAGTTAAGCAAGAAATAGAATTCAAAAACACTAGTGTAGTAAAGTATAGATAAAGGCTTTTAGCCTTAAGCTATGCTGTTTGTTCACTTTCAAGTTCATTTTTTTTACCTCAAACCAGGTCTAGCATACATATGACTTAAATTTTTGCCTTTAAAGATCATGCATAAGCCATTAATTTCTAGCCCTAGGGGGTAAAACTCAGGTGGGATGTACACAGAAAGAAAACTGGGCTAGTAATCAGGGTAATGGCAATTTAAATTCTGCTGTCTTGTGGCTTGTGAGTATTAAATGTGATTGCTTTATATAGAACAGACTGTTTTTGGTTTAAATAATTGGGTTTAATTTGATCTTTCTGCTTTCACTTGTTTTACTTGCTTGTTATTCTCCTTTCTTGGTGGTCTCATGGGAGATGCTGATTTGAAAATAAATAATATTGTTTATGTCAAATTGGCTGCTCATTTGTTGGGAGGGAGGAGGGGGCAGGGAATTTCCATGTTTCCTTTGCAAAATGTTGGATCAGGTCCTAGAAGTGAGTGGGGCCTGTTGAGGCTGGAGAAGAGGAGGCCGAGAGGGGAGCTGGTCAGTGTGTGCAAGCAGCCGAGGGGAGGATGGAGGCAGGAAGGGGCCAAGCTCTTGTGGGTGGTGGCCAGGGGCAGGCCAAGGGGCAGTGGGTGCAGGTTGGAGGCCGGGCAGCTCCATGTGGCCGTGGGGAAGAACTTGTTTGGTGGGAGGGTGCCCGAGCCCTGSTTGAGGCTGCCCAGGGAGGCTGCGGAGGMTCCTGCTCTGGAGACCTTCCCAAYGYGCCGGGMTGGAGCGGGTGCCCCRTGCTCTGRGTGTCCCTGCTGGAGCAGGGGCTGCAYKGGATGATCCCTAGGGATCCCTTCCAACCTCAGCCGTTCTGCAAGTCTGTGATTCTGTGACCTTACGTGACCCACCTTGCTGCTTCCCAAACCCATGAGTTTTCTTACTCTTCTCAAGGTGAAGCCACAACATTTGTGTTGACATAATGAGTAACAGAGGGAATCGGCCTCCACCGCCCTCCGGCCATTGGTTTTGTTGGCAGGAGGAACGTGATTCTCACTTGTGTTTTTATCCTAATCTGACCCTATTTTCATGCCGTGCTGTTCAGTGCAGTTATTGGTGTGTTGAACAGTGATGGCCTCCCATTTTGGAAGAGGCTGAAGGATGGTCAGATGGGATTTTGACTGTTTTTAATCCTCCTTTGCATGCGCTTTGTGAGACAAAGATAATTCCAGGCTTGATTTCAGCCTTCCTCATTAACTTTAAAATTAAACTATTTCTGTGTTATTCCATGGGAAGGCTGTGCCTTTGATAACAGATTATTTYTTTGGCCAAGAAAACCAAGTTCCCTTAGAGCTGCTGTATGTGAAGAGGATGAATTAGATTTTTTCCCGCTTCTTTCCCCCCTTTTTTGGCATTCCTCAGCATGTTTGCAGAGCACCAAGAAGAGCTGGTCAAACAGCTTTGCTGCAGGAGAGCAGGCTGGAGTGCTCTGCAGTCKTGGGATTTAATTAGGTGATCCATTGCTTACCAGTTGGGTAAATTTTAAACTGTGTTCAGAGCGTTGAATTGATTTCAGGGCGATTAAAAATGTATGAAGTGGGTACAGTGAATATTTTTCCTCGGGCGTTTCTTCATGTTTATTAATGGGCGCGTGGGGAGCAGGCGGGAGCATCGCACTTGACTGGGAAGAGGACGAGCTCTGACTTCTGTAGAGCCGTGTTGCTTTTTATGTTCAACACGTCGCTTCTGCACGGTAATGCCGTTCAGCGGCTCGTTGACTTTCTTGGCGTTAAAAACTGATTGAGTTTTGATGTTGGTTAGCGGCTCAATGATCACTAATTGGCCATCTCTGTGATAAATTATGTTGTGGAGCTTCCTGAAGTCATAAAACGCATAAAAATCCTATGGAAATGAAGAACAGGAGAAGAGGGGGTTATTTTTTTCTTTGTTTTTAGTGGTTTCAGGAGGGATGGAGAAGAAAGCAGGGAGTAATTGAGGAGATTAGAGTTGTTTGTTTGCGCATGGACACTGAGATGTGGACATATATAAGACCCTGGACAGAGTGGGTCTTGGTAGGCTGGTGTTTGGGTGTAATATCCCTGAGTTTCAGTGCTAAAGTCTTCTTCGTGTGTGTTTCATGTTAGAAATGGTGAGTGGACCTCATTGCAAAGCCCTTTGCAAGAAAATAGAAGGGGAAATCACAGTATTTCATGACAGCTGCTTGGGGGCTCGGTGGCTTTGGAGACCTGTCCAGATGGTGCCAACTTTTCAAGCAGCTTCCTAGAAACTTAG